CACCACCTCCCTTGAGCTGCTCCCAGGATTGTACAGCTGCTGAGGGACCTGTGTTTGGGCAGAAACCTGTGTGCACCTCAGCCCAGCTAAAAAGTGCGTATTTCCCTCACTGGGCTGGCAGGGTGGGAGTGAGGAGCTTGGCATGGAAGAGAAACACCGTTGTTGAACTGCAGCTGCCTTTGGGAAGCTGCCCACAGATGCAGCCCAGGACAGCCTGAAATGAGAGCACTTTGTAAAGAGAAATAAATTATCTGAGCAACCACTGTCAGGGAAAGGACATTTGCCATCTGAGTTAGCAGCTTTAGGGGAATGCACAGATCCTATTCTTCCACCTTGCAGGTTTCTGACACAGAGAACAGAAAACCCTATGCATTCCCCAGCTTGCTGGGCTGGAGAGAGGAATATTCCCATTGCTCTGGTACCTACAAAATCCATCCCTAAGCCCAACAGTGTCTGTAGAATCTGTAACACAGGTTTGAAATACCTTCTGGGAAGCCACTTTAATGAATATCAAGACTATTCCAGGAGTACTTTTGTTCAGCTTTATTTTATAAAATGTACTTGAAAAGATTTTTGTAAGCTACAACGCGGTTACAGTTAAATGCAACTACAGGTACTGTAGTCCACAAAAATCGTGCAGGTATTTTCACTTGTAAAAGTATAATTGATCTGTAAAGTCCATAATCCACTGTGGCTCAGAAGCCCATGGGTAGTTGACTTGCACAGTCCAGTTTAGATCCTGATTGTGGCTTACCAAAGACTGTCTGAAACCAGACACAGGACTCCAGTGCTGGTACATGGAGGCTGAAATCTGAGAAGCACCAGTGATGCTCAGTGGAGCAGCTTGTTTGTTAGGAGGAGTCTTACCTTTAACTTAAAAATGGGAGCTCTTTTGTGTCGTTTCCTATTTAGACCAGATGCATTCGCTTATCACTGCTGCTTCGATGAGGCTGAGAACTACTCTTTTATAACATTAACTGATGACTTCCTGACTCTTAAGTAGCTGGTAAAGTGTAACTCTGGATTAAAAGGGTTTATTACTATTATATTACAGTAAAAAGGGTTTATTACTATTATAGGGTGTAGGGGGAGGAGGTGCAGTGATACAGTCTCTAACATCAGTGGCACTTCTGAGCTCAGCCTTCAGGAAATGGTTGTTGGTTTCCAGGTTTTATAACAATAATATAATAAAGCATTCAGCACCAGTATGTGAATTACATGTGCATGGCATGTTGCAGAGTAACCAGATGCAGGACTCCAGAGCTGGGACATGGAGGCTGAAATCTGAGAAAACACACTGGGTGGCTTCGAGACTGAGAGATTAATGAGGCTGCTGAAAGGTGAGTCCTGCTGGTGCTGGTACCCTGTGGAGCAGTTGATGCCATCAAGTGAATATCTGAATAGCCAATACAGGCTGCTAGCGCCAAAAATGTGGAAATGTATGATAATTCCACTCATGTCCATGTACAGGCTACATTTTGCTGGACTGAGGTCGCACGCATTTCCTGTTTTTTTCCCACAGGTTAGTTTATCATATTTCATTGAGATAATCTTGATCAGGGTATATCAGGAAACCAGTAAATAAGCTGTCTGTCCAGTAAGGATCATAAAAGAGCCCATTTTGTTCTGAGTAAAATATCTGCAGCCATACCTCATCCTCCTGTTTCAAAGAAAGGATGGTTGATCCAGAGGCAACGTCATGGTTCCCAGTGTTTGCGTCAAAAGTCTTAATCCGGTACTGCCCGTTGTGGACCAAGCCAATGGCCAAATGTTTGTTGGCCAAAGTGATATCATAAGTGAAGTAGTAAATACCTGGGATGCTGCATACAAATTTCCCACTGGAAGCATTGTAATGTCCTCCCTCGTTCATCAGGATCCTGTCAAATTTGATGGGCAGCCTTTCCCTTGGGTAGCTCTTGGAGACTGCCACAGAGAAGGCAGACTTGGCTTTGTTGGCATTACAAGTACACGGTCCTGGCAGTCCAGTCTCACCCTTGTTCCCTTTGGGCCCTTTTTTCCCTGGGGCCCCATTTTTTCCAGGATTACCCTTTAAACCCTTGGGCCCTCGTGGTCCTGCTTTGCCAATAGCTCCCGCTTTCCCCTTTGGGCCTGGTTTGCCGGGGTTTCCCGTTCTGCCTTGTGGACCTAGAAGATAAATAGCCTTGTAAATCTTTCAGTGAAAGACTCGATATGGCAAGTGGAAAGGGGTTGTGTCATTCCAACAGTATATTTTCATTTAGGAGGAAAACCCTGCTGGTGAGAATCCCAATGAAATACCACCTGGGAGGCATCTGTCAGGACTGTTAGGTAGGTAGCTGCCATGATAACAATGGGACTTGGGAGCAGGACAGCCTGTCCTTCTCAGGGACCAAAAGGCTGGCTCAATTATATGGCTCACTTGCAAAAGGGAGTAATTAATTATAGAGGTAGCCAAGAACAAGCTTTAAATGTTTGGGGTTTTTCATAAGTGGGACAGGTTTGTGAAGCTTTTGGAACCCAGCTTTGAGCAGATGGGATACTTCCATCTCCTGTCTCTTTAATTTTTGTTTGGTTTTTTTTTTTCGTTTGCTTGTTTTTACATTTAGCATTAATCTGGTGTTAAGAAATAAGCGAACAAAGCATCTAGGTGTAGTAAAAAGCCTGGCATATCTGGAGGATGAACCAGAGGACATACAGTGCAGATACTGCCTTGAGATGGGAAGCCAGCTGTGCTGTCACAGTGATGCTGAAACTGCTGATTGTGCTGTGGCCTGATATAAGACAAATTCATGGGGTTTTATACCCTATCTCTTGAGCTGCTACTGCAGTAAGACAAGAGTTAAACACAGCTGTGGGTGGAAACCTGTTCTCCAGATTCCCAGTTTTGGGGCTGGGAGACAAGAATAAGGTGCAGCTTTGGCATGCTGATGCTATGCTGAATCAGGAGTGCACTCTAGTGTGGCAACGGGAAATCACTGTGTTCTCGCCACAGCTGGTCCTGATGCTTACTTGCTAAGGCTGGATTTAAAGGGTTGTTGGATTAAATAAGGGTGATTGTTTGCTCTGATTTAGATTCAGCATGGTCAGAGCAGTGCCTGTCACCCAGCTAGAGCGCTCTGGGCAGCAAGTGCTTGATTTTTTTCACCTGACTTTGTTCTGCTTGAGAGCAGGAGTCAGAGCCCACCACTTTGTCTTGTCTAGCGAGCATATATCAGAACAGGGAAAATGTCACTTCATAACAAAATGAAGCTGATAGGAATTGCATACAGTAATAAGAGGCTATCAGCAAATAATGCAAGTCTGGACCCCCCAGGCAGGAGCTGAGAAGTGTGAGATGTTGGAGGGGGGAGAGTGGAAATTTCTAGAAGTTTCCTATGAGATGTTGTCTGTGCTGGGGCTCAGATTTGGGGTGATGTGATAACTGGGCTGTTGTAGTATTGCTTTTACATGTTACCCTTATGTTAAGAAGTGTTTTTCTATTACCTTCATCTCCGTGCTCGCCTTTATCCCCATCCTTGCCGTCCTTGCCATCCTTGCCTGGGAATCCCATCCTACCAACCGTTCCTGGAGCCCCGGGTGCACCAGGGGGGCCGGGTGGCCCAGGGGGGCCAGGCAGGCTGCATGCCAGTTGGGTACCTTCATGCAGAGCTCCCTTGGCAAAGCCCCCCACGATGTGGTTTGCCACACAAGGCACAGTCCACAGGAGGAGGACAGCAGAGATCATGGTGCAGCCTGTAAAAAGGAGATGGGATGTGGCTGTTGTGGATGGTATCCGGCACGCGTGGGTACAGAGGTCTCCCCTCCACCAGGACTTGCATGAAAATAGGAGATAATTTGGTGTAAACCTCCTCAGTGAGGCCTGCTCTGCAGCTGGGATTTCTTACCAAGCACAAAACCCATCTCATGATGCAGGGCTGAATTTAAGCCCCATCCCTGGCAGTGGTCAAGGCCAGGTTGAAAGGGCTTGGAGCTACCTGGTCTAATGGAAGGTGTCCTTGCCCGTGGCAGGGAGTTGGAACTGGATGAGCTTTAACATCCCTTCCAAACCCAAACCATTCTAGGATTTAGAAGACAGGCTGGTGGAGGCTTTGGGCCAAGGTAGTCCTTACTAGGCAGTGCACACTGAGCCTCTTAGCTAGCATAAAATGTCCTGTTCTTCATCACAGCTCATCTGCACAGCACTGCACAACCTGCAGCTGAATCACCCACCAAATCTGGCTTTGTTTTGGGGTGCAGCTGCCCCTGCAGCTGTGACCAGCCCCACTGGTTGGTTTTCAACCTCTCACCGTGCTGAGCTGCCTCTGGGGTGGCAATAGCTCCGTCTTTCTTTGTTACTGCCATTCACCTTGGAAAGATAGGTAACTGTTAAAACCCTGGCCTGTGTTGGTCTCCTGGCTCTGTAAAGTGAGCCACTGCTTGAAGTATAGCAAATGCCAAGGGCTTTTTTGGAACCTTCATTCACAGTGGGAGGCTGAGCCTCCTGGGCTTGTCTTACTCCACTCCTGAGTGGGGAGATAGTGATAGAAAATAATTTCTGGAATAAAGCTATTCCCATGAAGAAGCTAATGATGCAGAGCAGATATTATATAGTAAAATATTCCTCTGGATGTCTGTGCATGGAGTGGTTTGCAAATAGCTATGCTTCATGTGCATCACCTGAGTAACTCCACTGCATCTTGAAATATTGCTCAGATGCATCAGCAGCTTAGAGAAGATGCTCAAAATCAGGCTGATTGATGAGGGCCTATCTTCATACATGACCCACCTGAGACTCTGGGTATTAGAAATGTTTAAAATAGAATTAGGGTTCTGCATACGGCTACAGATATAGTAAAAAAAGAGACATTCCCCTATACAAGATCAGTTTCTGACTACCCATGGGTAAAGGTGCTCCTGCCATCCACTTGTCAGAACAGAAGGCCTCCCTGTGCCTGGGCTGAGGATGTTCTCCTCCATTTGCTTTGCTGGTGAGGGAGGTTATGGCCACAGCCATAACCTTCCCAGCAGGGCTGGTGCTTCCTGCTGAGTACTGACCCTTGGCCTGATGGAGTTGGGCTCTTCTCCAGCTGTATGAATATGGAAACAAGCTGGTGGGGTGATGAAAGGCATCCCCTGGCCTAATTTCTTTCTTTCAGCTTCTGTAGGTGGAGTATCCCTTGGAGAAAAGAGGCACGAAGCCTAAAACTGTCCCATACAAATTTGTGCCTGGTTCACTGTTTGCATAATAGCTTTTTGATAAGGAGAGATCATGCTAAAGCCAAAGGATTTTCTTTTTTTTTTAAAGGAATTAGCCATGTATTGCTTTGATGCAACTCCTACCCCAGGGTGAAGAGGTGTGCACTCTGAAGGAAAAGACTCCTTTAAGTTTTTTTCCCTTATTACTGCTACCTCTGACAGTAGAGGGTTAAGTATTTTACAAGAATCATTAGTTTGCATGGGCTTTCTTATCACATGGAATCATAGAACGGTTTGGGTAGGAAGGGACCTCCTGAAGTCCTGCTAATGAAATACAGAATATAAGTGATGATTGCAAAGCAAGGAAACTGCCTTTCACACATTTCTTCAAGCTTTGGTGCTGGAGCTAATGTGGAGTTAAACAGAGATGAAACAGAAGATGAGCTGGGATATCCCTGCCTTTCACTCTGTTGGTGGTCTTCTGGTCAGGCAAGGTCCTGCCTGGCATTACACCAAATACTGTGAGGCTTTAGCATCTCCCCAGCAGTTATATTTAACTCCTGCACTGGAAATGAGATTCTTAAAGTATTGTATAAATTTCATGTTGGTCTTAGTGCTCTTATCCTGGTACTGGCTCCTGAAGGGGGTGGAAATGCACATTACATGCTCCACATCCAGTGAGCAGTGTGCTACATACTAATGCTGAGTGGGAGCCCTCAGTTCTGTGATATGTATAATTAAGAACATGCAGAGGAGTGGGAAATGCAGAACAGATCACCAGGCTGGATTTGGCTGTTAAGCTATTTTGTTCTTCAGTGCTGTTTTGCTCTTTCTTATACCTCAGTTTACTTGCTGCTGGTGAAAGGTGTCAGTTTAATGGCCTTGTGAGAAAGAAATCACCAGCCAGTATTAATGTGGACAATTGAATAAAGGCTTCTCAGTTCACAGAAGGGGAAACAAAATGTTAAAATGCCTGAGGACTGGGGAGGTCCCAAGGAAAGCTGCATCTCTGCTTCCCAGTAACCACCTCAAATGGGGTGGAAGTGAGAGGCGTCTGGAGGTGGATGACGCTGAGAAGCTGTGGCAAGGAAAAATGTAATTGTGGAGCATAACCTGGAAAAAAGCTGGGACTGCTTCATGGAGAGAAAGAACAGGCAAGAAGGAGCACAGGGCAGGAGGGCAGCTCCTTCTCTTAATGCTTCTTACCATAAGTACTAATTCTACCTTCAGACAACCCAGCTAATTGACCTGATGGGATAAAAGTGGCAAACACAAAATGCCCCAAGGCTGGGAAGTTAGTAGTACTGGTACTTGGATAGATGGGGAGTACTGGACTACCTGGATCCGTGCTCTGACACAGCTCCCAAGTCCATGTTAATTAACGGCTCCACAAGAACATTTCATCCCACATCACAGCAGTGCGTGGGATGCAAAGCACAGTCACATTCACAAGAAGATCTATAAATAACCTCTTAAAGAAACCTCTTTGAAAGAAAACAAACCTCATGCTGTTCCACCTTAAAAGGAAAATTGCTCCTCGATGTAGAACGACTGATGAGCTCCAAAATGCAAATTGAAAACAGATCAGCATCTTTCCTCTTGGCAGCATGGGCGGCAGGCCTGGCACTGGAGGCCGTGCAGCCTTCTTTCATCTGAGGTCCTACTTTTCTAATGACAATTAATGTCTTTGTTAATACGGCTTTGGAGACTTTTTGGCCAGAACTGACGTCTGTTGTGCAGGAGTGTGTGCTATGCCCAGGGTGTTACAAGCACTGACTGGTGGTGGAGGGGAGGAGAGCAGACCCTGCGTTGTCTGAGCACAGGGACCGGGAGTTGGCTGCAGGAAAGGGACCTGCTGCTGAAATGGAAGTGTTCAGCTCCTCAGCACTGGGGCAGAGCACACTGGTACTGAGTGCAGATTTCAGTATGGGAAAAAAGGCTGGACTGGCTTCACATAAGCTCCAGCTTCAGTGTCTGCAGCATAGGCATGGCTGGCCAGGCTTAGGGCTGCAGCTTCTCCCCAGCAGAGCCTGCAGCAGCACTAGGAATTGCTTGAGGTTATGGAGTGCATTTGTGCTGAGCTTGGGCCTTCATGTGTGAAGTGCCTCTCCCTCGGTGAGATCAGATCTCAATGCTTTTCTTCCCAATACTTAAAAATATCTATTGAGTCCCTCTGAAACTGTCTTCTGAAGTATTTAGCAGCAGTAGTGCTTTCTAGGTTGCTTTGAAGAAGACCCAGCCCTTGGGCTCATGAGGTGATGCAGCTCATGGTGGGCACGTGATGGTCACAGGCAGCAGTGAGTTGCTCTGAGGGTCTTGGAGGAAAGATCCTTTGAGCTCCCAGTTGCTAGGTAGGCCCTGGCTGAGACCTCATGTTCTGATCACAGCTGATCAAACCTCACCCAGAGAGAGAGGAGAGGCTCCAAACTGCTGCAAATGTCTGGGCCCTGAGGCAGTCCTGACCTGCAGCTCCTGCTTCTCATGGCCACTGCAGCCTGGGGGCATGCTTGCTGCTGCTGAGGGGCCTCACAGGCAGGAACCGAGGGGACACATCTCTTGCCATATCTCCCCTATGGCTTTGGCTACCAGGACATCCCTGTTCCACATGGCTCCTGCAAGCCCTGGTGTGACCACCCTCATCCCAGCCCTGCTACAGTTTTGCTTCTTGAGCCACTTCACAGTTTAGAAGCCAGGCCAATTCTATAGATGTGTATGCATCAAATAGGTGTGTCTGTAAGTGACAATTTTGCCTGTAAGAACGAGGTGAAAGTGCAAAGGATCTGTTGTACTTTCTGGTGCTTACAGGTCAGCTGGTCTGAACTCCCATGAGAGGGAAAATCCCTGGGGGTTTGGAGACATGGGCTGGTTTGGAGGCATGTGCAGTGGCTGGGTGGTGATTTTTAGCCAGGGAAGTCAACCTGTGCCATGCAGTGATGGTGTGTGCCTGCCCATAGGGAGGAGAATTATAGAAGGGGAGAGAAGAGGAGATAGCGTGGAGGGATTGCTGTGCAGAGGAATGGAGGATGATAGTCTGATAGCCTGAGAGGGGACCCAGCAGCAAACAAGTAACTGTGACATTCTACTCTGTTTCCTTTCAGTACTCTTAATTTTAAGAGACTTAAACAGAACAACCATCTTCCTACTTCACAATTTCCCAGCATACCTCAAGGTGTCCTGATTAGTCTTCAAAGTAATCACTATCCCTGTGAGCCTAATTCTTGGCTCTGGTGGTTGCCCTGCAGTGTCCCTGAGGTAGAAGCACAAGAGCTCTTGGACCCATGGGGCTGATGTAGGTAAAATGAGGTTTGCTGCTGGTTACAGCAGCTGAAATGAGTGTATTCAATTTCTGATACAAGTCAGTGCAGTAGTTATACCAGATATGAGTTTGATCTGTTATCTGCTATTATCTGCTATTGCACAGGGCAATGACAAAGGAGACGAAGGAGAGAGATGCATCTTCTGTGCCTGAACCTGCATCACCGTCCACGCTTTGGGCAGCTGGGGATGCCTGTGCAAACCTTTCAGCCTGTGCTAAAGCCCCCTTACAGAGCCTTCTGACTGGAACTAGAGCAAAGGGAGAGGCTGTGGTTTTGGCTGTACAGGGTGGGTGCTCCCAGCAAAAGTGTGAGGAACGTTTTCTGCCCTGAGTACTTCTGTAAGTGGCAACTGTTGCTGTTACGGATTCCTGTGCAGGTTGGAAATCTGTGTGCTCAATGATCTAGACCGTATTTGGTCAGTTTTCGAAGCTAAGGTTGAGAGGAGGGAGGGAAAGAAACAAAAGGCAAAGTGAATCTACTCACCAGGACTGATCCCTTCAGTGAGATCTTGACAGGCGCTGGAAACCACTCGCCTTTAAGCAGCTGTTTTGCTGCAGAGCCCGAGCCCCGTCCGGCCGCAGCAGCGTCCTTCAAGGGGTCTGCGGTATTGACCTGGGTCTGTGTTCTTTAAGGTTTCACTGCTCTTTGTGCGGGTCGCGGGCTTCCTGCAGCAGCGCCAGGTTCTGCATCAACGTTGCCAAAGGCATATTTTTATTATTGTGTAATGGGTCTGCGCCTCTTCCTCTGTCACGTGGCATGGGGAGAAATTTTTACGCACATATGGCTGGAAAGCTCTTGATGCTTGGGGAACTTTTCCCTTTCTCTCTCTCCCTGGGTGAAAGGCTCAGGAGTTCCCTGGATCATTTCTGACTGATTCTGCCCCTCTCTGCTGTAGCCGCTGCCAGCATGAACAGAATTCATAAGAGGATGGGTAATGCACATCAAAGTAGGGAAAAACTCTGGTGCTTGATCCTGAAGCATTAGCAAACCTTGTCCTGAGGGTGGAAACTCGCTTCTAAAACAATTTAGACAAACAGGTAATGGCAGATCATTCCAGGCTTGTATTGAAGGAGGTTGTGAAGCAGCATCTTTGTGAATAAGAATTTGGAGGGCAAAGTCCCTCAGCACTGCTACAGGTGGATGTGCGAGACAGAATGTGGAGACACTGCCATAGGGGTGGCAGGAATGCTTCTGTTTTTGGAAAGGGTTGGAATTTTGTTCTAGGCTTACAAAGTAATTACAAATCCCTTAGCAGTTGCTTGAGGTAAGGCAGTAAAACCAGAGGCAGTGACTGCAACTTTCGTTCTGCTAACACAGTGTTGACTTGCAGTAAATACCCATCCTCTTGTTTCTCTGCTGCAGCAAGTCATTATGTTGATATCCCAGCTTATACCAACCTATTAACCCAGATTTTGGGTTTAAATGTATTTTAAAATGGGTTGCAAAGGTTTGCCTTTCAACTCTCAAAATCGATGGTGCTTGCCTCCCTGGGGAGGTGCAGAGTGACAAACTGGGGTGAAGAGTTTGCTGCCCATCTCTTCCCTCCTTCCCAGCGTTGCAGGATGCTCTGTGATGCTGCTGGGATTGATATGGATCAGACTGGTCTTTTGAAGTGGCTGATGGGGAAGGCTGAGGCAGGGGCTGTGAGATGATGCAGAGGTACAGCCTGGTCTGATGGGTGCCTGGGCTGGCAGCATGAGAGGTAATGGGGGACCTGTCATCCTCGGGGAGGGCAGCCATAGCCCTGGGGCCACCATCACCCACACAGAGCAGGGCACTGGTGCTCCCAGCTGCAGCCTGTGAGTGCCGGTTGTGGGTGTGTGGATCCTGCTCTGCCCAGCCAGGATCCTGTGTAGGACTTGGGACGGGCGTGTGTGCTCAGTGGCAGCACTCCAGACCCTGCCCTGCTGCTCTCCAGCCAGGGAGTGTTTTCTGCTCAGTGCAGATATCAGCTGGCTGGGAGAATGCTGGAAGTATCATTCCTTACTCTGCCAGAATTCATCCTTATCGGAGTTGTTGTGGGGTTTTGTAAGCTTTTGTCTGCACTTGCTGTCAGAACATGGTGGGAATGGATATAAAGTGAAAATGAAGTACGCATACAGCTTGTTTGTGAGCTGTCATCAGTTCAGCTGCTCCTGGGAGGGGTGGGAACATTGGACAAAGAAGCATAGGGCTGATTTTTGTGCTGTGTGGATGGTCCCACAGCAGTTCAGTGCCATTGAACAACTCCCCTCCCCAAACCCACACAATCATCACCTTAAATCTCACTGGGATAAGGGCTGCCTCAGAAATGCTGCCATATGTCTGCAGAGCTCTAGTGTGCCTGTGGGAGCTGCCTCCAGGCCCACTGCCCATTGGCACAGGCTCTGAGAACTGTTGTCCCTTGGGGCAGCTCTGGTGATCAGTCAGGTATGAATTCTTGCTCTTTGACTGTTTCTATAAGGTTTGTAGGAAGATGGTTCTCTTAGAGAAACTCTTCCATTGGTGTGTGAGGCTGGAGTCAGCCAAAAGTCTCAAGGCGTTGCATGTGCACAGGTCCTGCCTCAGGTTTCTTATGACACTATAGGAGAACTTCCTGTGAGCTTTGCCAGAGTGCAGTTGGATTGGCCTGGGCAGCCACAGAGGTTTCCTCAGATGCTAACAGTGTTGAGAAGAAAAAGCTCTTATGCTTATTCCAAACCTGCCCCACGGCAGCTGTGCCAGAGCACCAGGGTTTTGAGATGAATATGAAACAGGCCAGGGATGAAAGGATGCTTGAAAATACAGCAGTCCTGCCAGGCAGTTCCAGGTGTGCCTGGGGGATCTGTGGTTACTGGCGATTTTGTGCCCAGATCCACAGCTTGTTGAAGGCAGCAAGAGCCTGACCTAGTTCAGCAGTGTGGGAAGAGGCAGCGCTGGGAAGCTCCTGCCAGGCAGATGGAAAATATGTCTGTGCTGCAGTGCTGTGCCGAGCTCACCCGGGGTCCCAGATGCTCTGCTGCAGAACATGCTTGGCAGCACACTGTGTTAAACAAATAACTGCCTGTCCGCAGTGAAACAGAGCAGCTCTGAGACTCCATTCTCAGTTCATTTTGTTTCAGATAGACAGCGGACCGTGTCCCTTCTCTGTTGCTTTTTATCAATAGCCTCCCTGCCGTGACTAACATGGTTTTTACCAGTGAGCATGGCAAAGGCGGCTCAATGCCGCAGTGCAGGAGCTGGCTTGGGCTGATCTCACCTTGACAGGCCCCCATGGACATGCATCAGATGGGGTGGTGGGTCCCCACTGCTGGGGCCTGTGGTGGTGCTCCCTCCTCAGCAGTGAAGCCATCCTGCCTGTGCTGCTGTTTGTTGTCCCCACACCAGCCTCAGAGGTGCTGCCCCACCTGGACTGGGCGAAGATCCTGTGCCCCTGCCTATGCCCCTGCCTGTGCCCCTGCCTATGCCCCTGGCACAACACACTAGTGTGTTCGTCCTTCAGATTAAGCTTGTTGTTCATGTGGCAAGGGGAAGGTGGATCATCCAGCACCTACAGAGTAATAAGTGTAATTTTAGCTCTGTTATCACCTGAACACATGCTTGGGGTAAGAAATGCGTGTGCCCAAAGGTGGGCGACCACATCCCAGCGAGGAGGGATCTTCCCTTGTTTTCTTTCTGAGTGCTGATGTGTTTCACCCTTACAGATACTGACCTTGCAGCAGCAACTGTAACCAAATAAAATGACTCAGCAAATGTCAAACTAACTGCAGTTCACCCAGGAGCTGGAGACAGCCTGAAATAGCAGCCTCCCCATTGCACTGGGCAATGGCAATGGAGTGTCCCTTTCTTCAAAGACGAGTGTAGGTGCTTTGGGTGGGTGTTTTTCAGATCCTAATGGGAGGGGAAAAGCATTTTTCTGCTTGACAGGCCTCCTGGTTTAGTGTGGAATGGTGATTTGAGTAATTTTTATTGCCCTGCCTAAAAGGAGTTTCAAGTCTGTGAGCAGTCTTCAGAGAGTGATTGTCCCTCTCCAAAAGCCCCCATAAAAACAAATCAAATCTCTGTTTAAACCTAAAGGATGCCCTTGAGACCATTAGCTCTGCTTAGGCACTGCAATCCTAACCCATTAAGATAAAAATAAATAGAGCTTATTTTAGGAAGAGGGAAGTGGGAACCAGCCCAAGCACGAGTGAGCCACAGCAGGCGCAGTGCAGATGTGTTAGGGTTGGGTTTTTCTTTTGTATCCTACACCTTTGAATTAAAGTGAAACTCAGCAATCTTTATAAATTGCCACAATTGGCTCCTGCCTTAGTATCTAACAACATAGTTGGACATGAAAAGACTCTTCTGGAAATGCCACGTATTTCCCAAACATATATTAGTCTGTAGCAGCATCAGTACTTGGGGACATGGGCAGCATTTGCCCAAGCCAGGACAGCCAGTGACAAATGCCATTTACCCATGTCACGGTACAGTGCCTCTGACCTTCAGGGCAAAGCAGCACGCCCCAGCGATGAATGAACAATTACTTGTGTTGCATGCAAGCAGTGACAGTCTGTGCAGAAAGGAATAGCTACAGAGAAAATCCTCGTTCCTGCTGCTGCTTCCCAAGCAGGCCGTTTTGCTTCAGAGGCGGCTTTTCTGTTCTTAGAGAATTGACAACAGGCTAAAAATTAAGTCTTTCAGCCACTCCTCAAGTATTGAGAAAATATGAGTGTATCAGCAGAATATACTGCAGGGCTCTACTGCCTCCTGGGTGTTAAAACTCCCAGTGCTTTTGCTTCTGCACATGCCCAGCATAAGACTTGTCAAAGCACAAAGGGGCAGCTGAGGAAACCCAGGAGCCAGCTGAAGGCATCATTTTCCTCCCTCAGCTTGGGTCTCATGCAGCCCAAGGGCTGATGGCATCACCCCTTCCCAGTGAGGATGTGCAGAACCGGGAGCAGTGCTCATGTGAAGCAGCTTCCCCACCCCTGCTGTTCTAACATCTGCCCTGTTAACAGGGCACTGCAATGGGTGGTGTCAACCCCAGCCTTTGTGCTCCAGCATCTGCTCCCCAGTACACTGGTAGCACACGTCGTAGCAGTTTGTGGATAAAAGCAGCAATGGGTTAAAACTCTGCTGTGAGGTGGTGCTGGAGCTCCAGGTCCAGCTTTATATAAAAAATTGAGAACAAACGTATGTGCAAATGTGATAAGGCTGAAAATGCATCTGAAAACAAATCCCACTCACAGGAGAGGTGATGGGAGATGACAGTGATGCGCATAGGACCGTGCTTAGACCCACATGCCATGCAGATGAGTGGCTGGGTGGAGGCTGATTCTGAAATGCTTTGGAATTACTTTTAAGACTTTGTAGGCTGGAAATTCTGGGTTTGTGAACCTGTCCACTGAGCAAGGTTTTCTTAGGCACAGTGAATTTCCCCTCTGTTCCACTGAGGTCTGAAATGTGCTGGTATTTTGCACGAAGCAAAAATTATCTCTGTTACTGACCTTGGTTGGGTCATCTAAGAGATGTGAACAAATCTGTTTCATGTAAAATAACTAGTTTGAGTTAGAATGATATTTCTATTTCTTTGTTACATTTGGCAAAAGAGGGGTGCTAACAGAGCAGTGGGGAGTTGCCTGCATGTAGTTCAGACCAGTGTTTTGGCCTGTGTGGAGTAACTCAAGTTATACCCAGAAGTGACAGGGAAAACTGCAGTTACTAGGTTGTAGTAGGCACTAGTGGGCACAGAAGATTGTCTCTTTTGCTGTTTCTTTATCCTAAAAGTTGAGCTCCATTTCATCCTTAATGAATTGCTATCATTCCTGCTTTTTTTCTGGTCCCTCAGCAGCCTAAACCGATTACATTCACATAGAATAGTGCATCTCTAACTCACTCAGGAAAGCCATAAGGATCCAGTTACAAATAAAGGTGGAGACAGTAAAAGAGCTACCTTCTGGCACGCCTTGAAAGGCAACGCAGACTGCTAAAGTTTCCAACAAAAAATAAAGAACGTTTTAACCTGCCTGTTTTAAACACGCAGATGTCTACACATCAGCTGGGCTGGCTCAGTGCGCAGCCTGAGCGTGCCTCAGATACCCAGAACTCAACAGGATGAAAAATGAGGCAGTCAAAGCACTTGTTGAAAAGGGAGTTGAGGAAATAATGTCTGAGCTTTGCCAAGGGCGAGATTCAGAGAAAGCTGCTGGCTCTGTTCTGTACCACGATTTGAGGATTTGACTGGTCTGTGTTACCAGGCTAAGGTGTTTCCTGTCACCTCACCTCCTTGTGCATGCAAAACCAGTTCTCACTTCAGCTACCTCTGCTAGAGTATACTTGGTTCCACTGTATGTTCAGTTTTGCCCAAGCTAGCCTACAGACTTGTTTCACATTCATTTTAGAAAGGAAAGAATTCTTCTTGTGCAATAGGGAATATGCAGTCATATTGCATGCCAAACTCAAGGGGAAGCAGATGGAGGAAAATTAATCCTCATGATCAGATCCACAGTGTTCTTTAACATTTAACCTTTATGATATAAATAGGACAACGTTTTAAGCTTTATTTGTCCTTTAACCATTGAGTCTGATCCAGACGAGATCTATTCTGCACCATTCACAAGCTCAAGGAACTGTACTTTGTATAAAATTCCACTAATTTTTTACCCCCCAGAGCTGCCTTTCTGCTTCTCTGGAGGAAACTGGTCCATCTTCTCCATCACCTCTCTCTTGACAGAGCAAGACAGGGCCTGCCCCAAAGTCAGTTACAGTCATGTCTTTGGGTATTGAAAAGCAAAATCCATGCACACAAATGTATGCTCAGGGTGGAATTCAGGATGTTTATTTGCAATGAACAGATCTCCCTATAGTACTGAACATGTTATAATGACTTCCATGTGAACTTTTAATTCTTTCCCCATTTTTCTGTTGAATATAAGACACTCACTAAACAAGCATCTAAACCAATTTTTACAGGCTGTCTGGATCAGTGAATTATTGGTTCTGCATTCTAAATTGCTCTTTTCAGTGTTATTTCTGAATTGCCTCCTTCATAATCAAGTCTCTAGCTACTTTTAGAAAGGTATCTTAATAAGGAACTGCTATCATGGACTCTTCTATTACCTCATCTTCCCAATTGCCTTGGCACTGACCAAGACAACAGCAGTTGGTATCTCTGCAGCTGGATATATGCTGACCAGAACTTCAGATGTTACAGCCCTGAGAAGAATAACAGTCTACTGTTCAAATCAGCTAATTCAGAAAAATCCAAGGAGAGTTTGCATTGAGGTCGTACCAGAGGATTTCTGGAACACAGTAAATAACCTAAAACATTGACTGTCAATGAGAATATCACAAATAGTTTTAATATAGAACTACACTGCAGCCTAATGCAGGATTTCCATTGTTAGCTATGTATGCTAACTTAATACGCTCAAATCCTCAAAGCACCTGTGAAATCACACACACAACACTCAAAATGTATGTTTATTGCATGTAATGACTTGTGGAAAAGACCAGTTTTTCCTTCAAATTAATCAATAACATAGAGAGGTCAAGACACGAGCTGATATGGAAACTTAGAACATGAGTCACTACCATAGCAGAAGGAAAACTCTATCCCTAGTATCTTCCCCCCTCTGACTATCTAAATCCACACTCTTTGTAAAAATGTAAAAGCAATTTCTGCAAAAGCTTATTTCTCCTCTCTGAAGTTTTTCTTTTCCTGGTACTTGATACATTAACAATTCCACCCTGAGATACTCGATCTCACTACTTGGGTTTATTTTTTTGCACATGCAGAATCAAGTTTTAAAAATAAATGCCCCCAGTCAGATGTTTAAATCTTACAAAATAAAGTCTGCATCCAGAATTACTATTTCTGTAAGAAAAATAAAGGGGAAGCAGACTTGGAGAAAACCTAATAAAAAAAGGAAAGCAGCTTTACAGGTATAACATGTTACAGCTTTAACACTGTTTCACCTTCTGCCAGGAACTTCTTCCTTGTTTACAAAGTGGACATTATCATCAGGTTCTTCATTTTAACAAGAAAAGCCAGGATTACAGCATCTTCAGCCCTACCATTAATATAACCACATTAAATGTGGTTATAAAAGCCATGTTTAATAAGACAGTTTAAACCATAACACAAATAATTTGTAAGCCTTCCAACTCTGAAGTCATGCTGTTAAGTTTTTCACTCCCAGTTTAAGAACTAGTATTTCCAAAGACAAACCAGATGCTGCTTTACTTTGTCAAGAGATATTAGAGCCTGACTTGGTACTGCATCAAGCAACAGGATTCTGGAAGTTGTAAGGGTGAGATGAATACTGTTATCAAAAGAACTCAGGTCTCTATGACCTAAATTTGTATGTTAAGATCTGCAGAAATAGAATTTAAAAAGCTCTACAGTCAGCTTCTCCTATCATTAAAAAAGGCTGTACAGCATTTAAGATATTTGTATTAATTTAACAAAACCTGTACAGTTATCAATTTTTACATTTCCAAAATACCTACCACAAAGTGATTGAGAAAGAAACTATTTCTCCTTTTAAAGCCATGTGACAAGCAACTTCATAAGAGGACTCAGTAGCTGTTGTATTTTTTTTGGTATCAATCTTTATTCTATATTAAGCAACATAACAACCATTTCTTCTGAGCAGTTTTGCCAAATGTATCATTACTTTATGCATATACTGGTTGGCCAAATGAACTTAGAATTGTAGCCAGGATCAGATCTTTTCCAATAAAGAGAGAAAATATTTCTACTCTGTAATAGCCTATACATGTGTGTATGTATATATTTGTGACTGTATATGTATACATACACACACATATAACATGACTATAAATATGTCTCCTGAAGTAATTGCTATGTCTATTGAACTTACTGCTATAGTATATCTAGTTAGGTCTACTGGCAGAAGTTTTCACCATCTTTTTTTGGTGCAAAAAATGGTCTTTGCCACAGCAGGTTTCTATAGAACTGTAAACAACAATGAAGAAGAGTCTAGTGTATAGGAATGATTTCTGCCATGACTACTGTCCAAGAAAAGAGGCCATAGGATCATCAGGTCTCTGACGTTTCATTCTGTAAGCTTCCATTTCCTCTTCTGTTGGCTCCCTGCTGTCATATATGCTGTTGTATGGTCTCTTTCTCTCATCTATCTGCATGATTTCTTTCACGTGAAGAAGACGAGCCTCTTCTGCGTTTAGTGCCTGAAATTAAAGAAAAAAAAACAATCAAACCATCACAATGAAAGTTTATATTAGATTTCAGTATCAGAAGAAGCAGCAGGCAGAATGGTGGGATAAGCAATGCACATCTGTCCAATACACCTACAGCACACTTAATGCTCATTTTGTAGAGTTTAACATAAAATGACGGTAAAACGATATTTAACAAGAACAAGATGCTTTTATCTCTTTCCAATTGCCAAAATTAAGTAAGAAACTCTTCAGCTCTACCTAAAATGTAATCATGACCCAGCAAGTACAAAAGCAGATAAGCAAGCATGCGATCTTAGGGGTTTGGGTATGTGTATTATGGGGGGGTGTAGGGGTTGTGGTGTTTTTTAAATGCTTTTTGAAATACATGTTATCCCACTCCTCAAACTACTCCTGTTGCTCTGTATAGCTATTTAAAAGAAATTTCATTTGCACAATGCTTTGATTAACCATGATTTCATATGGTTACATCATTTCACAGTCTGAATATCCAGAGGCTGTGCTCGTGGAAGGGCTGTTCAGCAGCAGTCAGCCTATAGATTGGTGGATGGATTTATTGCATCAGCTGTGAGGCTGGGCACGTCTGGGATGAAAAGTGCTAAGTTAAGCTTTGACAGTGCTTTTGATCTCTCCATCTTTCTTCAATACACAAATCACTGTGTTCTGAAATGTCTTTTATAGATGTACAGCTGTGGTGCCTAGACAGGAAATGTTCTAAATCATCTAAACTAAATCTTCCAAAACTAAACATTTATTGCATGCTTGCCCAAGAAACAGGGAATATACTTAAGGACATCTAACAGCATTTTAAATTTGCTTTAGCTCAAAATTAGCATTAAAGAACATCCCACAGAATGCCACAGGAACTGCATAGCAGGTTTCATAAAACTGACGTTGTAAAATATTTTTCAAGTTCTTTTTGCCACAAAACCATTGAAGAATATAGTGCACCTTTTTAAGTTTTTCTTGCTTCTTTTTCTCTTCACCCTCACTATCCGAATTTGAGCTCTTCTTGTGCTTCTTCTTTTTCTTCTCTTTCTGTTTCTCTTGATGGATCTGTAAAGTGGAAAACCACTTATTGTTAAGATTCAACTTGCAAACAGTAATGTTGAAGCCATTAAGTCCCACCAAGAGTCTACTGAAAACTGAGGTCTCATATAGCATTAATAGAGATGCTAATGATCTATTAATGCAGTCTAATGATTTTCAGACTCATTATGACTTGCATCATTTTGTAGTTATATGTATCCTTCCATCTCTTAAAACGCTGAGGAAAAATATCTGCCTCCCTGAGAAAGGGAAACAACCTACCTCCATCAGTGTTTTGGGTTTTGTCATGTGTTCTTCCTCCCTGGGTTGCTCTTGTAGTAAGCTTGCTTCAGCATTCTATACAACAGACAAGAGAAAGGATAGTCACTTACTAAGCATACTTGAAAGGGGAAGGACAAAAAAAAAACCCCAAGCCAAACAAATACCCCAACCCCCAAAGAAAGCAAAACAGTCTAAAACTTAGATAGGAAGATTAATGATTTTTAGCTCTTACCAAGCGACTAAAACAATACTTACAGCAATTTCTTTCCCAGCTTCTCCTGTACAGTATGAGTACTTGACAAATGAGTGGCAGCATTTGTAACCCCACTTGCCTTCTTTCCAGTATGAACCCCAAATGCTCTGAAAGAGGAGACACATACATCCAGTGATACTCCCATAAGAAGAGAGCTGCAATCTATTCCTGAGGTTATATCCTGGTAAATAAACTATTTGAACAATTCAGAAAGGAAGTTTATGGGAAATAGTTCACAATTTTGCATTAGCTACACAGGTACATTTTTGAACAACAGAAAAGCAACAGGATGTGGTCAACTCGTATTCAAAGTCAAAGCGAAATACAGTAACATCCCCTTTAGCTTAAGATTGCCATTGTAACTCAAATTTGCATTGCAAATGGCAATTGGAAATTTCTCCTTGGTAGAAAAGGAGAGTGTCAAATTTGATACAGAGTAGAAATTTGTTTAGTGTATTAATTATGTTGTACTGTATCCCACCGTACCTCATACCCTTCCAGTGGGAGGGAATCTGATTTTTTTATAATCTTAACATATGCTTACTGTATGGTTGTTGATCTTTATATCCTCTTCATATTTAGAGCAAGCAACAGCTTTCTCTTGTCCTTTGATGACTGTTCCATGCCTAGAGTACTCCACATAATCTTCTGTTTGACCTAACAGCAGTTCAGCTGGTGGGGCATCCAAATGTTCTTGTCCTCCATACTAAAATGCAAAGAGAAATAACAGTTTGGAAAAAAAGGCCACCTTTTATGTAGTTAAGAATTACATTTTAAAAAGTGTTTCTTTCAGAAGGCAGTGAAAGTGACACAAATAAAGCAGATAGAGACAATTTAATCTTTAGGGAATAGTTAAGAGTGAAATGCATCTCCTCCTATGGCCATTGTGGTATTTTGGTTTGGTTTTGTTTGTTTTGCCTGGAGAATTAAAACAGTGATACTCCTCACGCAAAGCAGGAAATCTTTTCAGACCAAGCTGCTGAGAACAGCTAATGCTGGTAACATTAGCAATTTTATTTGTTCGCCAAGACCCAGGCTTCAAACTCAACAGAATTCTTATTAAATAAGATTGAATGTCTGTTACCTTCTCTAGGATGCTTTCTTTCTGCTGTGCCTTGAAATCTTCTTTTTTCACTTTGAAGGATTTATAAAGTAGTTCTAATTTTGTAGGGTCTGCTTGCAGGTGAACTTCAGAGCCTTTGTCATAAGCCTCCCAAGCAAACACTGTGGTACACAAGAGATTTCACTTAATATTTATTCTAAAACTGACATATGCATTCAAATTATGATCATCTTTAATTCTGTAACTTGAAAGAAAGCCTCAATCTAAAGAGATTTAATTCTCTTTTTCAAGAAACAAGCACTCTTAAGTATTTAAATCAATTTTCTTAAAACACACTTACGCTGAGTCTGTGCCATTGAAATGGTATCTCCAGTATAGCGAACAAAGTTATCACCTGCGTAACCAACTCTGCAGAAAAGAACAACAGGATTTTTAGCATTCAAGAAACATGATTTCCTTTTAATTGCAACCACAGACCACCAACACGAAAGCAAAAAATTCTTTGTGCTCTGAGAGTTAAGAACAAAGGGAGAGGAAGCATTCAACTCAATGAATGGAATTAAAGTCTAGGCTCCCCACAGTCATGCAAGTATTAGATAGCAACTCAGAATACCTGATGCCTATGTTTACTTGGAATTACCTTATGACAGAGACCTGGAACTGTATCTGGGATACCAAACACCGTAAGTCAAACTTGGATCTAATTGCATAATAAATATGCATAAATGGTATGTGATATTCTAGCACAGTGATTCTTGCTTTTGAATTTGTGAATCTCTCCTCCCACCCAGACCCAGTGTATGGCTCTACCATTCTCAGTTATCTGAGAATCTCTTTTGCACCCTTCAAAGAGATTCAATGACTGTATAAAACATGTTGAAAATCAGTGTTAACAATCCAACTTCTTACTCTTTTCACCTCGCCAACGCCACTCTGAAAAATTTAGTCTGTGGCAGAAACACAGATTCAGCAAAGGTCAAATTATGATTCTGGAGAGAAGTGAAAGCATCTGCATCTAAAACCAGAACTGGCTGGCAAGATGCTAGCTGGGGGCAAGAAGAGGTGCAAAGAGCATTATTTGCTAGCATTCAGTCACTGCCATCCTGTTCCAGGCAGAGAGCTAATCCAATTACTGTACTCTGAATAAATGTTTCTACTCCAGGCCTGTCTGCTCTGCAAGGCCCCAGCACTATGCAGGCCAATGCTGGGTCACAGCTCAAGTACTCGACTTGAGTTTTAAGTGAGACAGTCTTATGTGCAGCCAAAAGCCAGCCTATGGTATTCTCTAGTTATCTATCCAGACAATGCCAAAGCTTTCGGACTTTTTTTTATGTAGACTCTGTTAATATATGAGGAGCTCTTGCTCCTAATTCAAACATTCACTTGGGTACCACTGATATTCCATGCTAGTCTCCACTGCTGAATGCTTTCCAACAAACAAGGGACAAAGTTTAAGATTTGGTTACTGAAATACTTTACATAAACATCATTACTGTTTACAGGTATAACCTCTATATACAGCAATATTCTTCTTGTGCAGATCATTAAACTAAATGGTGGTCCACATATCCCTGAACATTAACAGCCAATATTACTAAAATACCACTTTTACATATTAAAAGTGCTGCTAAACATTTTTCCTGTACTTACTGCTACTTCTATCCATAACTGACTAGAGATTCATTAGTACAAAACATATAGATAAAATACAAAACTATTAATCTTATTTTTAGCAGTTTTGTTGGATACAGAAACACGATCCTGTTTTAACTTACTCGTCTGGATTCTTGCCTGTATTGGCATATGGGTTCTCCCTCATTGCTCTTGTTTTGGGATCATAGTAAGCAGAGTTTGGATCCAAATTCCTCAAGTACTAGGGAAAGAAAACAACATACAAGATATCCAATATTTATGATTTAAAAAAGACTGAAGTTACTCCTGTATCCCCCAGCTCAGACATTTAAGAAGTTAGTTCTATGTATAAGGTTAACCTTGACAAAGTCGTAAAATGAGCCGAAACAGAACTTAGAATAGCCCTGAATCTCCATGCCCCAAGACCCATACATAAACTTATTAACCTTTGAGTATACAACTTTTTGGAAACTAACTCTCATGAATACAAAAGAAGATCTGTAATGAATTCTTAACTTACTTTAGCAATATCTTCCCGAATACGTAGATTTCTAACTGTGATACGTCTTTTTGAGTCAAAGTTCTGTCCAGGCATATCAATGTCATCTGCATATTTATCTTCATCCTCATCTTCACTGTTATGATCTCTTTCCTGAGGAGAGATGGAAAACTTCTAAATAAAAGAGGACATTCACACTACAGATATGTATGAGAGACTGATTTTAGTGGTTTCATTAAAACTTCTGCAACCCGTGTAGTTAAAAACTAGCATCATTTACCTGAACTTAAGTGTGCTATCATACTAATCTAGCATTCAACAGCTCTCAGAAATACAAGGATTTCCACTTCCTCATATGGAAACGATTACAAAACCAGAACTGTGATTATATTAAGAATACAGTTATCTTGGACAAACTATATTACTTAAGAACTAGTTATTTGCATGCATGTCCAAGGTTTGACAACACACAGGAATTAAACCCAAAAACCCTTCTGTGAAATCCAGTGATCTCTGCTGGAAAGAACAGGCAGCCAGTGGCATGAACCCAACATTCAAACCCTTATGCCACCCTTGTTTCACTGTTCCACTAACTACAGGCCCTTTTTTCTGCCCATGGTGTGATGCAGTGGGTAGTGATCTTACTGTCTGTGAATTTGGTTCCTCTTCTCCCCACTGCTGTCTTGGGGAGTTCTGCAACAAACAAAGAGCCCATCAGCAGAGAAGACAAGACAGCAGAGACAGGAAAGATGGCAGGGATATAAAAAGCAATCAAAGCAGAGCTTGATGATGGATGCAAAATACAATTTACATGTGGCAAAGACTGCAACATAATGTTCTAGGAAAGAGCTTGTGTCTCTGTTACAGATATATGTTGGAAACCTTTTCATTGTATTCCAAACTAATTTTCCAAGCCTTTGCAAAACCAGCAAATTCTAGAAGTGTCACTGTTTGTTAGACCTTGCTATGCCTTTGACCACTTTCATGTCAAGCAAATATAACCAAGATTCAACTCTGAAAGCTTAATATTTATGCATAATGAGAATTTCAGAAGCCATGATTTAATCTGGAGAAACAGAGCTAGACTTTATTTTTCAACCTGCTTAGCCTCTAACTTGAGAATACTTGCAGCATTAGAAATGGAAATAAGAAGACTGACCAGCAAATTGGCTATACAAAGGAGTCTTGGTCCTGTCAGAGATAGAACTATCAGAGGTAGTTCTTACGTTTCAAACACACTTCCCTTCTTACAGCTTCATTTTGTAAGGAATATGGAAGCTAACAATGTTTGTCTTGTGGTAAAAACAGGCACCAAAAAGAGAAAGAATATTTTTCTATCGGGAAGGCCAGAACGCTGTAGTTTGTGCTGGGCTGGAGATTAAGTTCACTCTGCCATCTACTGACAAAATGTGAAGTGACAACCTCTGGAAAGCGCAGGCCCAACTGTACGTAGTCTTTCTTGTGCTTGTTTTCTTTCTTACAGTATTAATTAAAAAAACCATAGTTCCGACCAGTAGCACTCTCTACTTTCCCCCCGTTTTATAAACTTAGAATATTATCATAAATTACTTTTTAAAAATAGAATTTTATATCAAAGATTATCAAAATCACTGCCTATAATCTCAGAGGAGTTTATAGAAGTTAGCAGAAGATGGGAACTCTGCAGTTATAAACTAGAGGGAATAACACTGCAAATAAGTCATAGCAACAACTAGAGAAGAAACAAGTTTGGTTTAACATAAAGAAAACACCTTCCTATTCTAATTTATACCTATCATTACAAAAACAATCCACAGTCATGTAATGGTCATTAACTCAACATGAGTCAGATGTAACCTCTGAGTATATGAACAAAATTCCATGTCATTAATGTTAGCAATAATAATAATCATACGGAATCTTTGCCCATAGGAGGAAAACAGTCAATTTTCATTTGAAAGAAGATACTACTTCAAATTCTTGAACGTGACACACAATATGCTGGTGCTACAGAAGTCTTTAAATTACTGAAGGGCATAAAAAAAAACCACAATAGCAGGCCTTGTGTAGAGGAAAAGCATCAGAGAGCAGAAGGAACCTGATGTATTTTTATTCAGGCTAAACATAAATACATTAAGAGTTAGTTTACTTACCACTTGCTCCAGCTTCCCTGATGCTAACTCTTCCTGAAGCTTCTGGGCTTTCAGTGTACGTTTGGCCTGCGTATCATGAAACACATTTGTTTTAATATTCCTTCTTAACAGGAAGTGTGCAGTAGTATTTATTTATCACAACCAACTCCTCTGACTGCTGTCATTAAAAAGTGCTAATTATTACCAAATATGGGGGCTTAACTGTGTTGGTGCTTGTAAAAAATCAGCAGCCTACAACTTGTCCCTTCTAACTCCCGTGCTTTACCACACTGTTTGCTGAGGCTCAAGGAAAGGAAATTATGTACACTGACTGTTTTACTACTTTATATTATACTGTTAAAAGTTTACCTGATTTATGCAGTTCTACCATTAATACATTCATCCTACTTTAAGAACTAGAGAGCTTATTTCAGTTGTGTTTAAAAACAAACACGTTTTACTATTGTGCCCTCATAGACTAGTTAGAAACTTCAGTGCTTAAGGTACTCTGTGACTGATGCTGCATTTATGGTTCATGCAAGAAGGCCCACCAAAGTCTAGCACCTGAAGTGAGATTTCAAAGCACCTCTGGAGACTGCCAAGGACAGTCTAGGCAAGTTTTGACTACCTCCAAAAATGGAGACTGCCCAGCCCCACTGGGCAAGCTGTTCCCGTTTGATCACCCTTACAGTAGAGTATTTCTTTCTTATAATTAAACAGAATTTCTTGTATTTCAATTTTTGCCCACTGCTTCTTGTCCTGTCACTAGATACTACTGGTAAGAGTCTGGTTCTGCCTTTAAACATTCCCATCAGACATTTATGCACACTGATTAGATCACTTTTAGCACTAGCTTTCCTATGTACTATAGGAAAATACTGAGGACCAGGCACTGAAGGGAGTTACTTAGGCACCTAAATACCTTTTGGAACAAGTAGCTGACATCTAGCTAAGGTAGTGAACTCTTTTTTCAACTTTTTTTAGAAGGTACTTAGTGTTTACATACATTTGGTGCATAGACATAGAAAGTTATCTGCAACAGCAGGATGCCAGCCTGCAAAGAGCTGTGTACAAATATACTCCTCCTCCATCATGGTAACAAAAAGAATTCATTAATAAAATAACATGACTAAGGTTACAAAATAGGTAGAGATTTGTTGGCTCTAATACAACTAGATAATAAATTCCTTTCTTGCATATGATTCAATCTGCATCTTGGGTAAGGTTTGCCTATTAAAAGGTAAGCAATCTGGAGAGACTAATTATTGTACAGATCCATACTCGGTTGCCAGTTCTGATCTCAATTTTTAGTTTATGTGAAGTCTGCTATCAACCACAGTATTCATCTCACTTTTTCATTATCAATACAGCACAAGGTCTAATATTATAACTGCACATAAAAAACATGCCTCTTCCCAGCCAAACCAAACACTAAACTTTTCCTGAATAAAAGATAACAGCTACATACCAAATCAACCTTGGCATATTCCTCTACAATCTTCATGTGCTCTTCTGGGTTATAGCCATTCCAACGGTCTCGCTTTCCATCATAATCAAATGTCAGTTGAGGCTGCACATGTTCATCTGGTGCAATATTCATGCCTGTGTATTTTGCTCCAATTTTCCTGGGTCTCTGAAAGTTAAAAAACAATGGTTGGATCAGTCCACTAGACTAAAATATGCCACTCAAATACCTGTTTAAAAATAGAATCAATTGAGCTCTTCTAGAGTCACCTAAATTCAGCACTATAAGCCTGTAAATTGTACATAAATGCAAGTAATTAATTTCTGTATTTCAGAGCAGCACAACTGATTCCAAACCCCATCAATTTTGAACTCTTATTTTCCACAGCTAAGAACAAACTGAAACACCAATTTCTGGGAATGGCTTCTAATTGACATGGAACAGAAAGACAGCACTTGAGTTAAAGCAAATTATTATGAAGAACTAAAATGTTTTTGCCTATTATTGCAGTACTGATCACAAACAGAATTGATGAGCAACACCCTGAACAGTAACATTTCTTCCCTTTATTTTTCTATGTAATAATTTCTTCAGAAATTTCCAAGCCACCTTTCAACACCTGTAATGTTTTTCAAAATAGCTTCTTCAAAACTAGTAATTTGCCTTTTATCTCCAGCTGGCTATTTTTCACTAAGATTAGAACTCACACTGTTTTCAAAACCATTAAAACATCAACAAAATGATTCTGTAATTCTAAAAGTCAAGTTTACCTCCATGCAGTCCTTCTTACTGTGTGTCAATGCCCCACAGTTCTCGCAAGCCCCTTTACGGTATCTAGTTGCCACAGCATGCTAAACAACAAAGAAAGACGGTGTTGTACAAACTTGCGGCAAGATTCATACACATGTTCCCAACACCCAATTCATTTTTTTTAATAGAACGAAAGAGTGCATGACCTACCCAAGCCCAGAACATGTATTTTGTTTATTATCAACCACTGCCTTGTGTTTGATCAAATCAGACTTGCCTGCTGAATTAGAATTCCCAACTCCTGTCTCCCTCAAAAATGTGTTACCAGAAATCATATCCTCATGGAATCAACCCAAATCTTTATTTTATGACAAAAAAATTTTGCATACCTCTTTAACTCCTCGTTTGTACCATTCTCCAGAGGTGCTATACTTTTTCTGCTTCTCTGGCTGTGGTCTCTGATGCTTTAGTGTAGGTCTTTTAGAAGGATCTATGTACCATGGTACTGAGGATATGTACTGAGGAATATGAGGATTGATATCCCTGTAAAAGATGTGTAATAAATACATGGCATAGGAAAAAAAACCCAACAACTTGGCCTAACACATAACTCTCACATTAAAGTTCAGTGCTTTACCAGTGAAAATAAAATAATGAAGTTGTTACAACACATTGCAAATTTAACTAGATGAACGCAGGTTCATGTGATGTTGTTGTCATCTAATTCCTGACTCCAAATCAAACACTTTATTCTGTGCAATGCTACTGAGCACAAACCCAGTAACATTCATCTTCTCAAAAGCAACAAGTCTCATAGAAGCAAGAGACAGGGACCAGATAATGTACACTGTGAAGCTGCCCAGTACCAGGTTTTGGTCACTTTTAGACCACTACTTACAAGTAGCCACACAGATGGAACTTTTAGCAGCACTATCAATAGATTACAGTAATAAACATTGAACCTACATTTTTTGTGGGGAAAGTAAGTTTCTAGGGATGGCTGGAATGTTAAAGCAAATTAATAGAGTCCCAACTATTTATTTCTACAATGACCCATGTATCACCCTCATGATTATTCTGTAATCACATCAGGGAAAAAAGGCATTTTTAACCAGTAGCTTTACAACAACCACAGCTTTAATTAAACTTACTTTCCTTCTTCATCCACCTCAGCAGGTGCATTTCCTAGTTTTCTCTGTTCTTCCAATTCCTTTTTTTTCCTCCAGTCTTCTCTTGTCATCTTCTTTGGTTCCTCCAGGCCCACATCATTTGATCCTCCTGAAGGAGCGGCATTCACTACCGTCCCTGATGACATATCGGTTTTTCTCTTTCTTTTCCTGTTACGAGAAAATAAAAGTCTTACAGATCAATATTACTTGACAGCACAGTTCTTCATCATGCTTTTGCATCGAGTGAAACCAGTAACACTGTAAAATGCATTCAAAAATAAGCACCGGTGCTGAAAAAAAACCGTTACTATTAATTAATGCAATGTCTCCTTCGTTATGTTGATTAATCTATTATTTAGGGTCACTTGCTGGAGGTGCCTTACTGCCTATGTTGTTCATCTACAGGAATATTACCAAGTCTTGTGTATTTTCCTGCCCATGGCAGAGGGCTGAAACTAGATGATTTTTAAGGACCCTTTCAACCCCAACCATTCTGATTCTAGTTCCTGTTCTCTGCCCAGCCGGACGCCAGGCGGGGACGCACAGCAGCAGCTCTGCACACAGCACAGGACACGCACTATCGGCGCTCCAGAACCCCACGGAGCTGGACACGGACTCACCCGCCGCCGCTGCTGCTGCTGTTCGGGTCAGCTGAGCCCGCGGACCGGCCGTGGTTGCCGGAGGCCCCGGCGCGTTCACGTAGCATGCCCGAACCCGAGCCTACACGTAGGCGACTCGAGAGAGGCCTACGAGGAAGCAGCGCCCTAGCAGGGCCCAGGCCCGGCCCGCAAGGAAGTGGGTGCTTTCCCGGAGCCCAGGGCGGCCGCCCGGAGAGCCGGTCCCCGCCGCTACCCGCGGCCCCTCTACCCCAGCCCCGCTCCCCTGTTTACCTGCCAGGTCGCACAGATACCGAGAACGCGCCACGGCTAGGTCAGAAAGAGCGACAGCACTGCGAAGGGCGGAGCCACGTCGTCACCGTAACGACTTGCTCCGTCCCCGGAAATCAGGGGGTGGAGCCACAGAGAGGGCAGGTGCGGCGGAAACGTCACTGCTGAGCCAATCACCTGCGGAGCGTTAGTCGAAGTAGCCAATGGGCGATGCGGAGCCAGTTTAAAAGGTGGCGGCTCGGCAGTGCAGGCCGTTACCGGTTTGCTGTCTGAGGGGTGTTCGTGTCTTGGCTCGGCCTTTGCGTGACCTGAAGCGGGTCTGTGCCGGTGCTGCTGCGCTTGGACCTGCCGGTGGTGCTTGAGGTGGGCTGGGTAAGCGCGGCTGGGTGGTTGGTGTTACTGCTTACAGCTGGAGTGCTGGGAGTGGCTTGAGCTGAGGGAAGCACTGAGGCCTGCGGCTCTAAGTCTTGCTCTGACTTTGTGCTTGAGCTCTTGACTTCAAGCTACACCAACTAAAAGCAGCTTTTTCCTTCAGGCTCCTAGTGAATGAGGGGCCATTGCATACCTGTGCAATGGCAGTGGCAAGCTCCAGGTGGGAGCTGCCTGGCTACTAATTAACAGTATGAAGAAGTGCTCTGATCTCTTGTCTTGGTTAGGGCTGAAAAGCAGTAGTGAAGGTACCGGTTTGTGTAGGGTGTCCTCAGTTTCTTTTTCTCATGAAAATATGTCTCTGCTAGTAAAATAACTGTAATTGTACTTACATGCTCAAAGGCTGCATGTTTTGAGCTAAGGGCTGGATTGCTTAGCTAGGAGGTGTACTCTTATTGTACCAAAGAAACCACAAAGAAGTAACAAAGCAAGCCAAAGGTATTAGACCTTTCTGTGTAGGATTGCTAGTGAGACTTGACTTTTTTCCTGAACACATACAAGCTCTTTTAGGACTATGAGGCTACCATGTGCACTAATAATGCCTTCAGACATGAGGGTCTGTAGCTAAACTTCTATGCAATGGTGTGAAGTATGTGTATGCTCCCCCTTGTCTAAGGACCAGTACATGGCAACTGTGTTGTCATTAATGTGGGTTGTTTAATAAGTGTCCTTTGGTGGAACAAAAGCTAACAAGAATAATTTCCTCTTTTTCCTGTATGGCCTTTCCAGAGTCACCTCAACCTGAAGATGGCAACTCTGATCTTTATTGATCAGGAGAATGATGAAGTTGGCACTACTAAGAATCGGCTAAGACTCCCTTCAGGATCTTGTGCGTACTTGCTGTGTTAAAATAGCAGGAGATCAGATAAAGTGCATAAATTCATGCCTTGCTAATCACTGTTTTGATCAGTAATAGTTTTCTATCCCTATATCTACTTCTAACTAATTCTGCTAAGTTCTTCAAATACCATAAAAATGGAGATAACTCTGTCATAGATGGGGCTATGCTCCTGAGTTATAAGTGATGGACAATGGTTTTTGACAGCTACTTTCCTAGCACATGCACTTACTGAAGCAAGCTTTAGGGTTGATATGGTGCTAAAGCTTGGTTTGTTGTTTTTTTTTTTTCTTCCACCCACTCCAGCAAAAGTCTTATCTGACAGAATGCAAGTTAAGACTCCACTTCCTAAAAAAACAGTCAGTACATCTCCAGCTGCACCTCGCTCTGTCAGGAAGGCTCTGGGAAATGTGAATAGAACTCAAGGAGTCACGAGCAAGTCGGAAAAGATAAGACAGAAAAGTCAGCCTTGTGCTGCAAACAAAGTGAGTACAACACTTATGAGGGACAGAGGGGAACTTCCCCATCAGTTTTCATTGTTTAGCATGATATCCTAGGTATCCTATAGGTATGGAATATCCCTTTGGTCTGTTGGGTCAGCTGTCCCAGCTGTGTCCCCTCACAACTTCTTACCTATGCATCGGTGGGGTGAGAAGCAGAAAAAGCCTTGACTCTGTGTAAGCACTGCTCAGCAATAACTAAAACATCTCTGTATTATCATCACTGTTTTCATTGTGAATCCAAATCATGTGAGCTACTAGAAGAAAAGTAACACTATCCTTGCCAAAACCAGCAGAAGGAGTACAGGAGCATAAGAGGTACAAAATGGCAAAGTAGTGGTTCTAGTGAAAATAGTGAGTTAATGTCTTGTTCACATGTCAAGTATCAGGAACTTGGTATCATGAGTGTAGGTATTCCAGTGCAGTGATTTATTGCTACTGTAGTGTTGTACTACATAAACTCAACTGAAGCATTTGTCTGTCTCTAGGTTATTTGTCTTGAAGTTATTTAGGCATAGCTGTTGACTGTAGCAGGCATTCTTGTCTGTAGACCTGCTATAGCACAGGAATGCCATTACAAATGGAAACTGCAGTAGCTCAAATAATGTAACTTCCTCTTTTTAATATCACTAAGAAGACTGCAGGTTTAGAAAGCTGTGATGCAGTGGCTGAAGAGCAGTGGCCAGAAATAGAAAATATGTTTCCTTTTGATCCTAGAGGTAAGAACTATTGGTGTAACTATCAAAATGAACAATCAGGCTTTCATGAGTGTTGCTATTGTTTTAAAACTTTTTCTAAACTATTGTGGCAAATAAGTTAGTATTGCATTTCTCTGGAGTACTTTCTTAAGCATAAGGGCGCTTGCTACTTCTGAAATACCATCTCATTTAAGTATTTTTAAGGGCAATAGCTGTGTTCCACAGATGTAGTAGTCAGCCTTTTACTGTGATGGCATGAAACTACTTCCAGATAACCATGCTACAGTCTCTTAGTTTATAAAATAGCAACTGGTAGACAAGTATTCAAAGGGGTACTTAAGCAGTACTGAAAAGCAGACTAATCTTGATTGTATGCTGAGACAGTAACTTGTAACTGAAAAGATTCCTACTGCTGTAGGATATAGTAGTTTAATCTTCAACTCTTAAAGCTGTTCTTTGCACAGCTCACTGCAGATAGTCTATTAATCATCCAAAGTGTGCCCTTAAGCTGTCCAGTTCATCTGGAAGTGAGTGTGCAAAAACTAATTGCCAAAGACTACTTTTGTGTTAATGAAACATATGCTGTGCTTGATGAAGTTGACTTGGTATAGTGCTTGGGAACAAATTACTAACTGTAAATGTAAAGCAGGAACTTTTATGTGGTGTATGGGATTTTGACAACTAAGATATAACTTTGAAAAAATACCCAATAGAGGGGGGACTGTTGGATTGTGCTGTTTTGGACCTGCTCTCACTTCATTTAATCTAGCAGAATTTGTGGCTTCTCAGGATATGCACTGTTATTAAACTGCTGTGTGTCTTTCTCCAATAGATTTTGAGAGTTTTGACCTTCCTGAAGAGCACAAACTAAGCAATATCAACCTGCGTGGTGTTCCCCTCATGGTATTTGAAAGGACATATGACAGATGTGTGAACATGGTTCCTTCACCTGTGAAGATTGAGGAGGTTTCGTGGGAGTCTAGTAAGTGGAAACTTGGCATGACTTTCAGTACATGCAGTGCTCATTGTGGTTTAGGAAAGAATCTACTGCAATAGTGAGCTGCCACTGCTCTCCTAGCTAGCAGAATAGCACACTACTGTCAGCTTTTGATATATACTCAAGTGGAATTTAACTAGTACAGGTAGTGGTCTTAGTGATGTTGCTGAGTGTTGTAGACAGGTGGTGTGGTTTGGAGTTACTGGGCACCAGAGCCAGCTCAGGCTGGGTCAGTGCTGTACCTGCACCCTTTCTTGAAAGGGTCTGTCTGCTCTGATGTTGGGCTTATGCATAGCTGCATGCTTTGAGGTGCTCCAGCATGACCTCATGCACAGCCACAGATTCTTCAAGTTGCAAACTGATTAGTTAAGTGGAATTGTCTTGTGCAATCAAACTATTTCCCTTAATTCAAGGGCCCAGTGTTAATCCACTGGGAGCTAGCTTATATTTGGGAGTAGAAATTCCGGGTTTCATGTGAAACTGAATTTTTTTTTTTTCTGACTTTCAGACTTGCTACAATCAACTGCTGACTTCCTTGATACCCTGGATGAGATCATTGACATGCCACCTCCAAATTATGACATTTAATCTATATTCTGAAGCTTCTATTGAGTTCAAATTTCACAGTTCTGTATTTTTAAATAAAAGTTAATCTAACCTGTATAATACTAGGTTTTTCTGTTTTAAATAGACCCAAGATGTAGGTAGTACAGTAGTGCTTTGAAAAAGAAGACTTAAAGCAGAGCCTGGGTAAACTTCAAAAGCAAGACTATAATATACTGCTGTCTGCTGTGTCTGGAAGTTAGTATGGTCATGATAGGTTGAGGCCCTTCTGAACTGTTTAGATAACTTTATTAAGTACACATTAGTTTTAAACAATTGTGTATCTAGCGTAAGTTAAGTACTAGAGCTGGTACTCTTGTGGCATTTTCCTTTATTGAACTTGTTTTCTATTTACAGTGGTTGTTCAAGATGTGTTGGTTTCTTACCTAGCTGTAGGCTGCTTCTAATTGTCACATCACTGTAGTGCTGACTGCTGGGTACTGTTTGTGCTCTGTGAGGAAACCCCATCCTTCAAGTTGTAAACACACAGGTTCAATAATTTTTCTTTAATTTTTATATTTTTTGTCTTGTTTTAATGGCCTTAACTCCTGTTCCTCATCACATAAGGCAAGTCAGTTGTCAGCCTTCGCTTAATCAACTTCTGTAGCTTTTGGGCGATGCTCTGATCTAGTTATATGACAGCAGCCTGAGCTGCCTTCAGCTTTCAGCTCATGCTTCACATGGATTGCAATGCTGTGCCTGTGTTTTGGCCACAGGCTGAGGTAGAAAGCCTTTCTGTATTCCATGATGCACCTGAGCTCTGAACAGGAGGTATTGCCATTATTACAGTTACTGTGGCACTGTGTAACTGCAAGCAGTAACAACAGCAAGACCAGCTTTTCAGCTCACATTTCATGGTAATGTCTGAATTAACAAGAAATAAGCTTTAATGCTTGTGAACTGAGATGATAAATGCTCTAGTAAAGGAATGGGGTTAATTTGGTGTAGGTCAGTGCTGCATCCCACAGTGCTGCTTGGAGGCATACTGTGGCTGCAACCTGACTGCATGAAGATGAGATGTGAATCTGTAACCATAGTCCTTTCATGTGTTGCTTCTAGGAAGCTTAATGCAGGCAGTGAAGGAGCCCTTGTGCTTTTCAATGGGTTGTCTGGTCTGCGGGTGCTGAAGGGAATGCATTTGCCCTGCTGTGATGACATAATGAAGGCTCCTTTTAGTTTTGAAAAGGGTAGCAGGCAGAGCACAGAATACTTGGTTTTACTGTTTCCTACTTATGGATGTTTCCTCAAGATGTTTCATTCCCTTAAATGCTTTTTACTCGTTGGGGGGTAGATGGGCCTTCTTGGAATTGTCCTGTTGCAAATGCTGATCTTCAGTCCGGACTAGAAACTTCCTGTTACTAGATTATCAGAGATTTAATGAAGTGAAAAGGTGTTCATTCTGTTTCTTCAAACTTGTCAGGGTATTGACTAAAGTGTTAAACTGTACTGAATTATATAATAAATGGTCCTTGTCTCCAGTTTCTTGTAATTGTTTTCAAACTTCAAAATTCAGGGGAATATCAAACTAAAAAATGATTGAAGAAATTCTGTCTAGAGTTTCCCAGTTTTGGCTGATCCTTAATTGCATTTTAATAGCTTTTGATTCAGAGATAACTTGCAGTTACCAGCTGCAATAGTTAATCAGTAGTAAAAGGAAGTGTTAAAATGCATCTTCCCTTGGCTTTTAGTCTTTACCAGTTCAAATGAGCTGGGAGAAAACAGTCCAAGCCCAATTTTACACAAAAATGGCTGTAATTAAGGCACTGAGACTGGTTCCACAGTGCCATCATGCGGCCCCTTGTTAAGCAGCCACAGGGATGAAAACAGGCCTATACAAAGTACCTGATAATGTGTTTATGAGATGCGAATAAGCATATGACATGAAATCATAAATGTAGACTGTAACTTTTTGTATGTACAGCCATTTTGTCTGGAGGGAGACACTAGTGCTTTTTGTTATGGACGTTTATCATGGCAAACATAATTATTTTTGGTTGGTTTAAAATATTCACTGTGATCAAGCACCTAGATCTACTATTTAAGCCTCTGGAGATAAGCTTTTTGTGCTGAGTCTGTGTATGTATACATGCACACATGTCAACACAACATGCCTGGTAGCTCTAAGTTTTTATGCCAAAATGGGTATTTGTCTAATGTTTGTAAAGGTGATAAATGGTTCAGGTAGGCCTGTTGGTACTGACACATTTTAATCCCCCAAGAGTTGTTGCTTGTGGTTACAGTGGAACGGGTGTGCAGAAAGCAAAGTGTGAGTCGGACTTGGGAATATTGCTGGTTGGTCTTGCATGAGAATGAATGCTGCTGCAGTGTAGAACAGAAGGTAACAATGCTAGAATAAATGATATGAGTTCATACTGGCATAATCCTATTTTACTTAAATTGTTAAACCCTTTGAAAGTCTCGGGGAAAAGACACAGTCATCGGCTTTGTGTCCTTTACCTACATTCAGTTTTCTTTTTCCTGTAAAAAATATGAAAGGGTGTTTTGGGTGCAGAGGAACGTTTTCTTCAGGATCCTTTTTAGTGTGTTTCATCAGATTTCCTACAAATCCTATCTCGCAGCTGCTGGCAGGCAAGACAAGCCAGTCAAAGCTAGGTCTGAGTTAGAAGCAAGTACTTCTCAAGATCTTATCTGTAAATAGTTGAGAACAAAAGGGTATGTTTCATCACGTAGCCCATCTCTGAGCCAAAACAGGAGTGTTGCTAGGAAGCTTCTGTATGGAATATAACTCTACTTAGAAACACAATGCAGAAATCCGTTTTCTTTATATGACTACTACAGCTGATTAGTATTTAACATTTAAACATTGATTAGTTTTTTAAAATGTCCATGATCCTTTTGGTTTAGAAGATTCAAAACAAATAAATGCTAATGGTTAATTTCAGACACATCCTTAACAAATCCAGAGTTAAGAAGTCTCTATAGCAGATAAATAATGAAGCTAACTTCAGTTTTGGTTAGATGTTAATTCTTAGCACCAAATGTCAGGTGACTGGGAATGCCTTTGTTCCTTACAGTAGGGCACCTCATCTGGGGCTTCTCATTTTCATTGGGATTTCTGGTTAATGCAGGTCCAGGGTTTTGCTTTTGTAAAGTTTTATTTTGTAAGCATTCATCAGAAAGATCCATTTGTTTCAGCAGGCTTTTCTTCCCATTTCATGTACTTTTCAACGTGGCTGGCTGGGGTTAAGGAGAAATGCACGTTCCTGTGACCTGCATGAGAACAAAGCTGTGGTGAGGCTCAATCTGTGGGCTGAGCTTCCTGCCTGCAGTGACCTCAGGAGATGGAAGTCACAGAAGCAGAGTCTCCTATTTAGAAAATGTGAACTGTAAGTACAAAATAGCCTGTGTCAGCCCCTGAAGTGCTGATACTCAGTATCAGGATAGTGCTGGGAATTCGGCACTGCTTCATGCCATCTCAGTTAACGCTGACTTCCACCAGTGACTGACACATCAACTTCCTTAACTGTTCTAATGTTTATATATGCAGCTTTTTATACTGGTAAAGTTTTGTTTTCTGATGGGGTATTGCCAGAAATAGATGCAACTTGAGCTCAAAATGGTGTCTGAGCACTACCCTGCACAACGGAAGTCCTATTTAAAACTGCTTGTGATGTTTTGGTTTACTTGAACAACTTACACTTCCTGCAAAGATCTGAGGTAAAATCTGGGATTTTAAATGCATGGCTGTGATGAAAACAAATGCTTGTTCTCAGTTTGAACAAGCCTTAAGTCATTGTAACTGTAAACCATGATTGGCAAATCTGGATTGTAACCAAGTACACAGAGCAGGTATCTTTTAAGTTGGTTATTCCTCTGTAAAGCAGCATCTTTGACAGCGTTCTGGCTGTGAGAATAAGTTTAAATCCTTACCTGGATTTCTGTAAGGAGAACTTGGAGATTCATAGAAAAATAATCTCTTAGCAGGTTGAGTAAAATTACTTCAGTGCACATCAGATAATTCATCCTATTTGTAGTGTTCTGGCAGCGGGTGGCACCATGGTAACAGCATGTATTACAGCTTCTCACTCTCTCAACCTGACAGCTGTGGTGTGATGTTTGCCTTTGGTGCACAGTGCAGGCATCTGTAATGGGTTTCTTTTTGCTTCATTAATGTGAAATGGAGGATAAAAGTCAGCACTAAGGAATTCAGAGTGCCTTTACCCTATGACTGCAGGGAATAGTATATCAGCCAAGGGCATTTTTATCTTTTGTTGTTTAAAAAGAAGAGGAATTAAAAGCCTGAGGCAATTGGTCTCTTTAGGGTTAGCAGAGCCAGGAATCTTGTAACTTTTAGTTCCACTGTAGTTTTATTAGTGTTAGCTGTATAGAAATACAATAATGTCCCTCTAACTATCCCAAAGTGGTACTGTATTCTGAGAGACATAGGCACTGATTTGCCCAACATGCTATAATGAGGTTTATATGCAGTTTATATACACAATATACACTTAGTAACTGGTTGTTTGGGATCTGACCGCAAGCATGTGTTTTTGCATAGAAAGTTACAAAGCATGTAAGAAAAGCATCACTGATAAATTTACTTGTAACTGTGGCTGGGAAGAAGTTGAAAGCATGGTGGGTCTATTGTGCTTGAATGATCTACAGAATTAGAGGGAGAAGTTATAAAATGTCCTTAATGTGTATTTTCTTGCAGTCAGATTATGAAGAAAGCCAGGCTTAAAAAGGGGCATGCGGACAGCCTGCTGGGGTGGCTGTTTTGTGCTTTTCATACAGGTGAGGTAATTTCTGCCAGTCAGTGAAGCTTGAGGGGAGGTTCATGGAGCTGAAAGCAGCGTGCAAGGATATCACTGAAAGGCTAAACTTGTCTTAAAAGTTGCTGAGGATCTTGAAGGTCAAGTAAGATGGAGGTGCCATTTTGGTGATGAAGATTCTTTTTCTTGTATCATTTTTCAGTTACTTGAAGCAGAATTAAAGATGCTTCCTTTGGGATTGTACTAATGACTGGTATAGCTGTACACAAAAGGATTTGAAAGTGGGGAAGCAAAGGTTTTTTACACGGGACACTGAAGATTCAAAGAATAGAAAGAATGATGCAGGGTGATAGACATAATATGTGTGGAGACATAGTCTTCTTGGTAACATTTTCCTTATTGTATCTTGAATTCAACTTCTAGTTCCAGCA